TATAAAGACAGTTAACTATTTTCAAATTGCATCCAAATCTCGCTGTAATTTGTATTTGTGCACAATGAATCCTGACAGATCACATCTTCAGAGATGCACTTACCACTCACTCATTGCGGGGAATTTGTTTACTGCTCTACGCTGGCAGAAACCCCTCAGCCTCTCGCATACGGGTTACCTTTTGCAGCCAGACACCTCTAAAAAAATAACATCCTCTTAAGTGTTGAAAGATATTAAAATACAAAGTCATTAACATATAATAAGAGTGGATTGAGAGCTTTGCATGCTCTGAGGTTCTCAGGGCTTGGCTTCGAGTCAAGAAAAATATATTGGATTAGTATGAGAGCAAAATTAGGACTGTGTGCAGTTTAATTAGCATTACAAGATACTACATGTGTATGGAAGAGCAGGGAAGATTTATAGTATTATGCGGTAAGAAAAACAACATTAAAAGGTTAAAATACTACCACGGTTTGATAAAACACTTTGTGTTGTATCTGAGCCGAGACCTGACCAAGCTCTTGGCTACTCCCGTGCTCACGTTTCTGTTTCCTACAATACATCAGCACCTCCGTGATCCCAAGCGTTTCCTCTTTTCCTTCCCGCGCATCACCGAGTGCTCTCCACGCTTGTCCCCCATCTACTTTTCCTGTGCTCTTGGCTGGGAGAGGGAGGAGAAAAAAAAAAAAAAAGCTTCCTATTGTGCTGCACAGTTATCAACTATTTTCCAGCACCCGTCCCCCCCGCTGACGTGCGCGGGGAGGCAGGAGAGCTGGCGCGATCCTACCGACGGCTTCCCCCAGGCGTGAGCCTGCTGGGCTGAGCAGCTGGGCAGCGACGACATCCAGCAGCCCGAGGCTCAGCCAAAAAGCAAAACCTGCGCTCGGCGTCGTGCGAGAGTCAGCGAGCAAGCAGCACGAAGAGGAGACGGCGTGTCCGCCCGACCTGCTTGGCACGGGGCGACTCGGGGGAACAAACGGCACCGAAGAGGCACGGTACGTCTGTAAATAAGCAAGCTTGTTGGTGCTGGGGAGGCTGAAACCCCAGCACGCCCCCAGCCTCACGCAGAGCACGCGCGAGGCGCACGCCCGGCACCCGCTCCCGTTCTCCTGACGCCGTGCACGATTTTCTCCGTAAAGAACTGGAGCTGATGGAGCCGTGCCAGGTTCTGCACAGAATATTCCTAGGCATAGTAGCACGAATGTGTTTTCTATTTGATATCAGGCGATCACGCTACGCGCCTCTCCCCCCCGGCACACCCCCCAAACCTCACGCAACCTCAGGCATGCCGTTCCCCCCGCCGAGGGAAGGGCACCATCAACACGTGCATGAAGGTTACCAAAGGCATCGAGCGTTATTAGCCAGATAGCGCGCTGCGGTCTCCCTTTACTGTCATGTACAAGCTTCCTTCAGCGACAATTAGGATTGCCAAGTGTAATTTGAGGGAAAACAAACCATTAAACACATTAGAACTGCGCTCTAGCTCTTTGCAGATCCGTGGTGCACCCGCACGGCCTCTCGGCTCGGGGTGCAGGAGCCAGGCACACGCCACGGGGTGAAGGCATGCAGATGGGTTTGGGGCATGATGAAGGGTGGAGAGGTTTCTGAAGCAGCTTTAAGAGCTTTTAGGCCACATGATGGTTTGCTGTGCAAATCATAACTGCGCCCTGGGGCCAGAATTGAGACAGGGAGCATAATAACTGGTATTTTGCACCGGCGAGGCAAGGACACCAAGGTATCCTCACGCCGTCAGAGGACAAGAGAGCTTTTCTGTGCAGTTCCCCAGTCCCACAAAACTGCTGCTCTGGAGGGCACCAGCAGCCGATCTGTCCCCGCTTCTGACCTGGTGCATTCCAGGAAAGGCCAGGGATCAAACCCCAGGGGACACCTCCGGGCCACCCCTCCTCCTTCCTTACCTGCGTCCCAACCATTTGGGACCACTCTGGCAACTTGGCCGTGGGAGTTTGAAACCTCTTCCGAAAATAAAGGTTTAAATCATCAAATACAAAGAGCCAACAGCTCAAAGAATAAAACCCTCGGTGGTAAAAGGTCCCTATTCTGAGGGCACCTGTAGGTCCTGCGGGTTTATGATCAGTAAGGAAAACCAAAAAGTGCTCGGGTCATGTATTTTCAGTCCCGCGCACACCTTGTGCTTTAGGTCACTGGCACAAGCAGCGGCTGGGAGCTCCTGGCACGGGATGGCCCGGAGTGGGACGTGCTGGTGGCCACGGGCTGTGTGCCCTCCTGCAGCACCGGTCCCGGCACGCAGCGAGCTCCTGTGGCTGGCCCTGGTGCCCAGCTGCTGGTCAGAGGGCTCTGTGCGCATCCATCCTCTGCTCAGCACCTTGCTGGTGCAACTCCACGGCAGCACCAAGCAGCCGCCCTTCACGCACGCCTCCAGGACGAGCTTGGTCTGGCACAGCTGGTAGATGTCTGACCGCAATCCAAGAAGGCTTTGGCAATTTTTGTGCCCGCCTCAGGACACCCGTTTGGCCCTGCGCTGGCCTCGAGTGCGCATCCCCAGCAACGCGGCGCTGGGCCCCTGCAGCAGCCCCAGCCCTGTAACAGCTACACCACAGCACCTTCCTCGTCACAGCCCATGTTTAAATCTGCAAACATCGTTTTGGGATTCAGCCCGGGGTGTCCTGACGCTGAAGAGCCCAGTGCCCCGACCTGTCCTCCCGCAAGGAGCTGGCACCGGCACAGGGTCGGATCCTGTGCCGCACACAGCTGGTTGTCGCCAGCACTCGGGATCCAGCAGGTTCCCCTGAGAAGCTCAGCCACAAAAACGGCGATTTTCTGACAACAGAACATCGCCCGGATCAGGCACAGAAGTTTTAACCAGGCCGTATGTGGTACCCTGCCGCCTGCTCCCTGCGCCGGAGCCATTACCGAAGCGCCTGCCAAACTCTAACGAGCGCACTGACAGACCCGCTTTGTGCTCCACGAGCACACCCATCCGCAGAGATGATTTGTATTTTGTAATGCCAGCCGGGGCCCAACGCACCATGACAGCAGCGCGGCCGCCACCCAGCCCCGCTCGCCTCGGAGCGGCAGCCATCGAAGAGTCAATGAATTAAAGCGGCATTAACGAACTTTTAATCTAGAAGCCAAACTGATGATGCAACGCTCTGCAGCTTCTGGGACAAAGATGTGAACTACAATGCCTCAACCTCTGCCATGAAAAATTGCCCTTGTATCTTAAATTAGTTACATATTTGAATACCCTGTAAGATAGGAAAGCAGAGCGTTATCGCGCTGCCAAATCTCACTCCTGTCATGAGGTCATTTCTGGCACGCCGCCAGCGAGGCTTCTGCCAAAATATCTGCGCTGACCATCGCTCCCCGGCCTCCCCCTCCCTCCCGCCTCGGGTCAGAAAGGAAGAAAATAAAATAAAAGGGGGGCGGGGGGGGTCAGGGAGGGGAAGGGCTTTAAAGCAGCTCGCACGAGCGCAGCGGCACACGCGGCGCTTACTCTGCTCCTTCGCTGACCGTCCCGAGGAGAGGTGCAGGGAGGGTTGTGGGGTCGCAGTCCATCGGGACGCTGAAGCCCCCCGCTGCACGCCCCGACCCGTGGGGAGCGGTGTCACCGCTCACAGCCCCCCTGGTACCCCTCCAAAATGCTCACTGAGTCACTCCCGCTTCGGTTCTGCTGCCTTGTGCCTCGGGACACGTTTGCATGGGATTGCACTCGGGGTTTAACAGCAGCGCAGGCTGGCTGCTAGGGCTTGGAAAACAGCTGGGAATCCTACAGGCACGGGGAGGTTTCTAACACTGTAGTTCACTTTTTGGGGGAAGGCTGTTTGCAAACACCTCGCCTCATTGCTGCGATCAGGAAACAAACGGGTACACTAGTGAAACACTGCAACACTGAAGGCTGGGGTTTTTTCAGCTGTAAATACGCTCAAGCAGGCAGTAATGCAGAAAAGTCAGTGAGAATCGGGGGAGAAACAATGCCACAAGCACCATCAATCCCGTGGTGTCAGTGCACGCGCTTCCAAGCAGGCAGCTTTCGGGGCCAGCAGCTGGGCTGCAAACTGCTGCCCATCGCGCCCGGAGCCCTGCCTGCTCCTGCTACCAGGAAACTTTCTCTCGCGACCAAGCACTTCAACATGTCTGCAAGAACCCTTCCTCCTGCGCCTGACGGGGCAGATGTGAGGGAAATAAATTAATAATTAGCATTACCTTATCTGGAGTATGTCAGCTGTGGAGAGCAGCATTTGGATCTCGGCACACATTCGGAGACAAATTATCTAACGCCGTAATTTATGAATGCCTCAGCTATTCATTCTGGTATTTCATTAAACATGCGCTGGAAAGAAGAGCTCTGAAGCCTGAGCAGATTTAGCATGATAACACGAAAGGCACTCCAGCCGCATGCTATTACAAGACAATCCAAGAAGCCAAACATGACATCGGGCGGCTCAGGCTCGCTTTACGTTGACACCGCTTAAGTAACAAAGGGCAGGGGAGATGGCCGGATAGCTCAGGCTCTCCCGCTTCGGCTGCTGCTCGGGGTTAGCTTTGGGAAGCTGGAACCCCAGAGGGGTTTTGGGCAGCCCGAGCCTGCCCTGCGTGCGCGCACGGAGGCCGAGCTCGCCCCGGGGCCGTGCGGGAGGACAAGTTCCCAAACCGGTGGCTCTGCGCACGCCGGATTTGTGCAGCCCCCCGGGGGTGCTGGCTGGGGGGCGATGCTGGCGAGCGGACCCCTGCACCGGGGAGCCCTAGGGCGGCTGGGGGGGGGGTGAAGGGGTGGAAAGCACGCCGGGTGCGCACGGAGAGCCCAGTGCGCACGGAGAGCCCGGTGCGCACGGAGAGCCCGGTGCGCGCCCTCGGGCCATCCGCCGAGGTGGCGATGCTGGAGTCGCGCCGGCGGATCGCGATAGCGGGGCTCGACGGCAGGTGGAGCGCGGTGCGCCCCGGGGGCCGCCGTGCCGGAGCGCTGCCGCCGGCCCCCCCCCGGCGACAAGTGCTCGCCCCCGGGCCCCCCCGGCACCCACCTGCTGCTGCTGCCGCCGCTCGGCGCCCTCGGGCGGGCGCTGCGGGCGCGCTGCGGGCGGAGCCGCGGGCGGTGCGGCCGCGGTGCCGTCGCGGCGCGGGGGGGCGTTGGGCTGCGGCCCCCGCTCGCGGCGCAGCTCGGAGCGCAGCTCCAGGTAGCAGCCCAGCGTCAGGACGTGCAGCGCCAGCGACAGCGCGAAGAAGCCGAGGAAGAGCCGCCAGCTGCCGCCTCCTCCTCCTCCACCTCCTCCTCCTTCTCCTCCTCCTCCTCCTCCTCCTCCCCCTCCGCCGCCGCTGCAGGCGCAGCCCCCGCGGGCCGCCTCCCCCCTGCGCTCCGCGCCCATGGCCGGCGGTCCGAGCGGCGAGGCGCACAGCCGCTACTGCTCCATGCTCCGCCGGGCCGCCCCGCGCCGTGCCGAGCCGCGCCGTGCCGTGCCGTGCCGGGCCGGGCCGCCGGGGGCTGCGCGGCCGGGGCCGCCCCAGCGCCCCACCAGCGGGCGGGGCTCGGCGGCGGGGAGGGGCGGCAGGGGGGTGGGGGGGGGCCGGGGGGGCCGCTCCGCCCCGAGCGGCCGCGGAGCGCACAGAGAGGAACCCGACGGAACGGCTCCGGGGGGGCGGCTGGGGGTGCGCAGGGATGGGTGGGGATGGGAGAGAATGAGAAGAGAGTTAGGAAGAGAAGAGAATTGGGATAAAATTAGAATTAGAAAGAGAATTAGGAGTAGAAATAGAATGGAGTGGAATTGGAATAGAGTTAGAAAGAGAAGAGAATAGAATTAGAAAAAGAATAGAATAGAAGTCTGAAAGAGAATAGAATAGAATTAGAAAGAGAATAGAATTAGAATAAAATTAAAATTAGAAATAGAATAGAATAGAATAGAATTAGAATTAGAAATAGAATAGGATGAGAAGTGAAATGAAATGTAATGAAATGAAATGTAATGAAATGAATGGAATGGAATAGGACAGAATAGAATAGAATGGAATGGAATGGGATAGAATGGGATAGAATAGAGTGGGATGAATAGAATAGAATAGAATAGAACATAAGATAGACTAGAACTAAGAACTAGAACTAGAATAGAATAGAATAGAATGAATAGATAGAATAGATAGAATAGATAGCATAGAATAGAATTAGGATGGAATGGGATGGAATGGGATAGGATAGAAGGGACGGGGTCAAACAAAACGGGATAGTATGAAATGGAACGGCATAGTATAGAAGGGAGTGAGTGCATCATCCTGAATCTGCACAGGGAGGGCAGACTTGGTGTTCCATTCCAGGCACATTTTAGAGTGCAGAAATTAAAACTCGGTGATGGAGATTGCAGCTACTTGGGAAACTTCCTCTTCTGTGTGGAGCCAGCGTGGTCGCTGAGATCGGCTGGTCAAGGTGTGCTAGTAGTCTGGGATATTTTTGGGTAGAGCTGTGTGGTGCCAGGAGCTGGACTCGATGATCCTTATGGGTCCCTTCCAACTCGGGATATTCTATGATGCTGTGACATGGGATGTGATGGAGTGAAATCACAGAGTCACGGTCCTGAAATCACCGAATGCTGTGGGTCTTCACTCTCATAGTGAAGAAACTGCCTCTGGGCCTCCTCTGCTGCACACCAGAGGGCCCAGGTCCCCTCCAGCCCTCCCACCAGCCTTGCTGTGCTCCTCTGGATGCCCTCAAGTAACTCAATGCCCCTTTCATGTTTTGTGTTCCTTTTTGAGAGGGAAGACTTCAAGAAAGCAGGCGAATAAATGACGAGTTTGGGTCACTTTACGTGCCTGAGAACACAGGCGGTGGGGGAGGACACGAGGAGTTGCCAGCTCCCTGTCAGAATTAGCGCAATGGCACATCTGCAGGCCATCCCGATGCAAAAGCGAGATAGAAAGAATAGCATGAGATCAGCCTGGTCATCTCAAAGACAATAAGGAACACGCACAGAAAGTATAAATCAGGCCACTTCCCAACGCCGTGCGCAAAAGAATAGCACGAGCGTGCGGGGACACAGCTGGAGGGAGCGGGGCTGTGGCAGCGGGGGACAGCAAGGACAAACAGCAAGTGGCAGAGATAAGGAACGTCACCCAGGAGGTCAGCAAACAAGGAGAGAAAGAGCAGGTGGAGGGGGGCTCCTCTCAGCAAGGAGGAATGTGACCGGCCAAAGTGGAAATCAGCAGAAGGTTTGGGGCTATTCCAGTAAGAAATGGATTTTTTTATTTTATTTTATTATTTTTTTTAATTGGGTTTCAGGCAACTGCTAACACCAGCAGCAGGTGAGTTAAAGGAGGGAAAGTGGAAGGTGAATGAGTGTTTTTGTGAATAGCTGGGCCCAAGGAAGACAAAGTTTCAGCCAAATGGTTATCAGCTGCTTTATCATTATCCTGCCTTCACGTTCCCTCGCCCAGCCTGGGGGATGGGGGAGGAAGGCAAGAAGTGGTGGTAGGGCAGGGGAAATTGTTTGAATGAGTATGGGCACTTCTTGGCACAGCTTATGGATAGCTGCCAGCCAAGGAATCAGGAGAAACTCTGCTAAAATGTTCCCCATTCCTATCACCAATCCGTGGTTTCACTTGGCGATGGGATGGAGAGGGCAATGGCCAAGTTTCTGTATGACACCTCCATGGCATGGGCAGTCTTAACAAAGAGGAGAGCTGGCCTGAAGAAAAGAGGATGCAAATTAAAAAAGAAAGAGCTCAAAAGTGTTCATGCACACCAGAACGAGTTGTGAGTGGGCACAGGGCGAGGCACGCGTGGCTGGGTGGCACCGCTGCAGGACGCTGCTGTTGGGTTGGGTGGATCTGATGAACCTGGACCAGCAGACCCCGTTATCCCACAGGCAGGGCGAGCTTTTTGCAAGGCAGCCCCTTCCAGCAAAAAGCCTTCCAAGCACTGGGACACATTGCCTGGGAATTTGTGGGGTCTTCATGACGCTGTATTTGGTAGATTATGGCTATAAAGAATACTGCGGTTGCTGTTCATGCTGCCTTTGGGGAGGTGGATGAACTAGATGACCTCTTTGTAGTCCGTCCTAGACTTATTTTACTGCAAGAAGGATTTGTGATATATTTTTTTTTAGGTTCTGTGTAATAGTCATGGAATTACATGAGCGTCTCTGTTTTCATTTAAGAGAGAAATGTTTCCCTAATATTTGTGTAGAAAAAAACTGGAAGCATTAACCAGCGCCAACCCTAACAACTCAAGAGCAAAAAGCAAATAAAAGCAAGTGGGCCCTCTTTGTACAAAATTCCGCAATTATTTTGGGGTCATTTATAATTATCTGAACACTTATGGTTGTTATTGTCTTTCAAGATCCAAATTGTTTAAAAACAATCTTACATTGACTTACTCAGACTTGCAATAGCCGAGCTCTATTTCAACAGTAATTTATGTTACTTTTAGGATGACTTTTAGAGGTCAAGGCAGCCCACAAGTCCCTGAAATACTTTGTACTCTGTGTTCCTAGGGCCTAAGGACAGATCTGTGCTGCAAATGTCTTAATCCCACGCTACGCAGGTGGGTCCATAGCCTATTAATATTAACCATTTGTAAGAAGTCAGTTCTCCAGCTCCACTGGGATCTCGTTAGGGACACTGATCCTATGAATGAAGTACTCAAGCCTCCTGGAGCAGGTCATCATACAAAACCCTCTCAATTAAAGATAAATCACACCTGATGATATAATTAATCTGTCGCCCCAGACCAGAGAGAGGTCCTCACACGTTGGCCGTGTGGCACTGGCCCATTCCCACGAGCCGAGGCTTTACTCTTTCTCTAATATTTTAATTTCTCTCGTGCTAAGCCTGGCTGCCAGCTTCAGGCTTAGGTGAGAGCACGTGGTGGAGAGCCTGCCCTTGCCGTGGGTGTTTCCTTTCTGAGCCATGAGCCCTTTTTCTCTGCTGAACGCAGCCACTGCCCTTTCTTTTATAGGTTTCATCCCCTTTTTCTGAGCCATCCCGGCTGCACTGCTCTCGAATGGAGAACCTCGAAGGTTTAGGTTGTCTTCTGTAGCCCGGCCTCGTGGCTCCGAGGAGAGGATGGTGGAGAGAAAAGCCTCGCATTCATCCCAGAGCCTTTGCTCTGGTGCAGAAACGACAGGGATCCTTAATGCTTTGGACTGGCTGATCAAAGGCAGGGTCCACAATAGGGAAATAAAGAACAGTTCTTTTCAATCAGGAAAGAGCATTGCTACACAAGGAAGAGGTCCCCCCACCCAAATTTTGCCTCTTTATATCTGCTGGAATTTATTGGGTCCAGCTGCCCCTGCTTTTTTCTTTTCTTTTTTTTTTTTTTTTTTTTTTTCCCCTTGAACAATGGAGAGAAATCTAGGAAAAAAGGAAACATTCCAAAAATAAAGGCATTGTTCCTTCCAGATCGAGCTGCGCGACCAACTCCTCTGGAGGACGGGTCGGGGCTGGAGGGAGGAAGGATGCACAGAGGCGATGCCTCTGGTGCTGGGGGGCTTTTCCCCTCGATTCCTGAGCTTGCTGGCTTTGCCATCACCGCGTTAAGCCAGCCTTCGTGTCCCAGCAGCACCGAAATGAGCAGCAGGAGGAGGAACCTGCTGCAGCAGCTTGTGGGAAAAGCCCTCTGAGCACAACTCGGGGCACGTCAGGGGCAGAGCCAGTGCCCGCTGTTGCGCATGTTTAAGGGATTAGTGAATCTCCTGGAAGCACGATGCAAATGAGATTTTAGCCCATTTGCCATTTACTTTTTGGCAACAGCTGCAATATTTGCAGCAGCAATAGAGTAGGTTTTAACATGCGTGACCTAAAAGCTTTGGAATTCATGACTTTCCTTTGAGGAAAGCTCCACTAAATTGCAGGAAAGCCATCTCGTTTGCTCTCTATGATGTTAGCAACGTTAATACAATGCAGTCTCCTGAAACCTGACATCATAGCATGCCGAGAACGTGTCCTCAGATATGTTTATATGCCCTGAGGACAAAGGATCCTGACTTTTATAAAGCCTTCATACATCAGTGCAGCTACAGATGCTCTTCAGCGAGGCCTGAGGTTTCTTGTAGGTGATCATTTACGATTGCATTTGCAGCAGCCACGAGCTCTGCCTCTGCAGCCATGGTTGCTGTGTGCAGCTGAAGCCCAGGGTGCACGGCTCGAACACCACGTTTGTGTCAGAAGAGCAACACACGGAGCAGTTGCATTCATGGGGTTGCTATCTTTCTGAGATCTGATTAGGAGGCTTTTGAGGTTTTCCCCTCTCAGGGCATCGCTGTCTGTCTCTGATCGTTTGTCTGTCACCCTTATCTGACTTGTGAGCTCTTACAGCTGCCACTTAAACCACAGCCACAGAGCATCCTCAACCCACCCTGCCCCAGCTCCATCCCGTTCCCCCCCTGACCGCAGTCACTGCAGGGACCTCAGCCTCCGAGTCTCACCCCAAAGCTCTCAGGGCTGAGATGTGCAAGGCCGAGCAGGGTCACAAACCACTCGGTATGACAGCGACAGCTCAGCAGCCACCACGTTTCAAGCCTGAATTA